TTTGGATGGGCAAGTCAAAACCCTGGCTGGTTGTCTATGACCTTTGCATTCTCCTTCAAATTCCAAGCATTTGCAAGAGATGATGGAAGAGCTGATAGTGTCCACTGTTTATCAGCCACGATAATTCAAGTGGATACATTTTTGATTGTAAAAATAGTCTTGTAATGGATTTTTTTTTAACAGCTATTTCCAACACTCTCAGCAGATTTAAAGATTTAAATTTGAAGATTTAAAAAGGTCTCTGTCCAGAAGGCACTTTGCCTCCTGATAACCAGCTCAGCTTCAGCTGAAAAACTTTTTTTTTGAGGAGAGGAAATTCAGTTTCTTTCCTCTCTGCACTGTCAGCCCCCAGAGCATGAAGTCTGTTCTGCCCCTAATTGCTGTGCCCTGGAGAGGGCTCAGCTGCCTCCTTGGACCCCCACACACCCCCTGTGCACTCCCGTGGCTTCAGCCACAGCCAGGCTGGTGCTGCCAGAGGGCAGCTCTGGCTCTGCTGAATGCCCACGTTCAACTGCTGTGGGTTCCAGTTACCACTGCTGGAGATAAAACAAAACAGGGAAAATGATGGCATTTTGCTGGAAAATCGAGCACTCAACAGCCAAGCAGAGCCGTGTTTAGGTTGCCCATGTAACTTTCTGCTGTGGTGGGCACATTACAACGTTGTGCTCCTGTGAGAACCTTTATTTTCTCCTCTCACCTCTTTCCACTTGTCTGCATGGAATGAGGTGGAGCAGCAGTTCTTAGAGAGCTGGCTGCTGCTGTGTGCTGGCCTGCATTTCCAGTGGCTGAATCAAATTAAGAGATGGCTACAAACACACGACTTCCCCCACCAGCTCTGTGTGCCTGGGTAAACATTTGCTGCGGTTGCCTGAGGACTGTCATGTAACTCTTAGGCTGAGGATGACTGATCTGGACAGTCTCTCCTGCCTCCAGCAGGAGCATGGAAGCTGTGGTCTGCACCATGGAGGAGTTTAATACCCTGGTGCAGAAACACCTAATGTGTTCAGTTATGCAGAAATAGCCCCCTGTGCTCAGCACAGATTACAGGAGGGCAGACCATCATTGCCCCCTTTGCAGTCCCCCTCCTGGGAGGATCAGCTGCTTCCACACAACAAAAGCAAAAGTACATCTTCAGTGAAAGATTCCCCAAACCAAAGTCATTTTTCATGGCTGGTTTTACATCCCTAATCCTCCATCCCAGCGAGTTTTTGCCAGTAAAAAGGGCTTTACCTTTCTTGCCAACACCCAGCTCAAGCCCTCCTTTCCTGAAGCCTGGGAGCCACTGTGCCTGGGGTCCTCACACCAGGGGCTTCCTCCCCAGACCACCCACCAGTACAGCCACCCCACATCCACTTGTGGCATAAGCCTTGTGCCCCTCTCCCTTTCCAGAGGGAAAACGCCAGGGAAAGCACTTCTCCCAGGGGCACAGTGGACATGGGTGCTGGAGCCTCTGAGCAGACTCCAGGCTGAAGCTCTGCTTCCATGGCTTGTGTTTGTATCCAATGAAACCCCACTCGCCCGTGTTAGTCCTGCCAGCTGCTTCCAATCTTCTAAACAGAAGGATCTCCCTGTGCTATAAACTTCAGCTTTCCAAACACGAGCATCATCTGTTAAGCCAAAAGCTTTAGAAAGGATCCCTGAACACCAGGCTGAGTCCAACCAGCACAGGGCATATCTTCCCTGTGTCAGCAGACACCTAATGTATTTTTAGTGCTGTCAGAAACAAACCACTCCCTGATACTCCAGAAGGGGGGGGGGAAATCATCCAGAAGTGGCGGTGAAGCTAATATTTTAAAAGACCCTTTCGAGAACTCGCCAGCCCCCTGGGGGAGCTTGTCAACATCTCCCACGTTAAATGAAAGTCACTTTAAAATCCACAGGGGTTTTAAAGAAAAGCTGGAACGTATCAAAGCTGCTGGGATGGCAAGCTTCATAACGTGCACAGTACATCAACACTTACAGACACTAAATCCTCCCCGGCCTCAAGGGAGCTCACAGCCCCCCGGAGCAAACCCTTTCCTAATGTATCTCTCAAATGAACTGCTAATCTCCTCTCTAAACTTGACAGCTGTCCTGCATGCACTCAAACCCCCCTGTGCGTAAATCCTTCTATAGTTCTCGTTAAATCACTTGCTGGATCATTTTTCCTTTAATAGGAGGAAAGAAATCTTTCCTCCAACCCCGTACAAAGACCTCCCTCACTCGCTGTTGTATTTATTCCCAGGAGCCATCTCTGGGCTTTGCAGACTCCTCTGGCCAGTGGGATGTCCTACCCCAGTCCCCCCAAGCAGATTGCTCACTCCCAGCAGTTCTGATGGCAGCTGATCCTGTGCTCAGATCAGCTTGAAATGGCTGACATGGTTTCTCACTGCTCTGAGGGAACAGAAAACTTTCCCCTCTGCTGGGCAGAGTTTGGCCCGTGGTGTTGAATCCACGGTGCCAACAGCTGTTTGTCACTCCTGCTCCAGATGATAGTTTTCCAGGGTTGCTGTGCAGCCTTGCCACAAGAACTCATATGAGACACCACCAAGACATCTGTGGTCTTACACTGTCCAAGTCCTAACAGGGGCTGCTGAAAGGGTAATTTGAGATAGAGTCAGAAATGATCCCAACTTCCAGTTGAGGACAGAGCAGTAGTTTTTCATGCAGTCCTCAATGTTTCCAATGACAAACATTTCAAAGAACTCCAAAGCACCAGTGCTGGATCCTTCCTAGAAACATATACTTGTCCATTAGCTGTTCTTGACCACATATTTTGTTTGCTGCTTGAAACTGGTGAAGAGCTTCACTGAGACATTGGTTTGTTCCAATGTCAATAGTGGCATTCCCTGCTCTTGCACCCAACAAACCAGATTTTTTGCGACATGCCATCCAACAGGTTGGCACAAGGTTGGTGCAAGGCTGATGATCCCCAACAGAGGCTGGTCTCTGCAGAGACCTAATGCCTGACTGAGCTGTTGAGTCTTTGCTCAACGCCTGGAATGTGAGGGGCCTTTGGCAAAAATCTGGACAGAGAAAACATCAAAATAACTTCTGCAACATATCTTGTACACTTGGATTGGCAACACACACAAGCTCTGCCAAGAGCTGTTAGAGGGTGCTGTTGCTGCAGTGTTGGTGATGAGTATCTATCCTTCACAGTGTTTTTCTAGTGAGGATATTTTTTGTGTTGCTCCACGTTCTTCATCCCTCCCTGCCTTAGCAGTGAGGGCAACAGGGCTGTTTACCTCTCTGCCTGTGCTCCTTGCACTGCTACAGCGGTGATTTGAAATTACTCCCTCTCCAAAACTGCCTCTTAAAATGTCCACAGAAGAAGATGAGCCACAACAATTGCCCCAGGATGTGATGCTCCACCACTCTGACCGATCACCCCACACTGTTTCACCCAATTGTTACCTCTGTTTTGTTGTATTCAGAGCAATGGCCCCAATGGACCAGCCACAAAATGCTCCACTGAAGAGAGGAGAGGTGTGTCACATAACTGCATCTCAGAGACTGAGCTCTGGGCTGAGCCTGACACCACACAACTGTGAAATGTCCCTGTGGTCACCTGGTGCAGAACCGTGTCCCACCACGAGCACGGTCTGGAACAGGATTTCCTTTGCAAATGTTTTCAGTACTGAAGCGAGTCCCATTTTCCAGACAAAGAATTCACACTCCAGTCAGCTCTGGTCCCTGCAGCCATCTGCATTGTTCCTTGGTCCTTGATACACCCACTTCCCAGGCATTTCACATGGCTGGAGAAGCATATCAAACCCTGGAGAGGTGTTTCTGATATCTGAGCTCATGAAACCTGCTGATTTCAGGTGCAAACAAAAGCACACTGTGAAGCTGCTTTACCTGCCAGAGGAGCACCTGTTAGACCGACAAACCAGGGCCGTGCACAGAGGAGACAGATTCCCCTCTGACAAAGCTCCACCCGCCGGGCTCAGCCCAGCAGTTCTTACCAGGGGCTGGGAATTAATAGGATCTTTACCTGGGGCTGCATTGTCAACCCCTCTTGCCCAAATGGAAGAGCACACGTGTGATGCTTCCCAAAGGAGGATCTGGTTCCTGGGTGGCCAGACTGGATGGGAATCATCAGGGTCAGCAAAGGGGGGACTTGCCTGTCCCCAGCACGGCCCCTCGTCCAGCAGCACCGTCAGCAGGGGAGGGCTGGGCCACCCGCACTCACCGGGCTCAGGTGGGTGCTGCAGGACCATCCTGCTGCCCAGGGTCCCTCCACATCCACCCACTGCACACAGTGCCCTCACAGCCTCAGTGTAGGTCAGGCCTGCCCCTTTTTTGGGCTGAATATTCCAGATTGGTTCCCCACACCTGAGCAGCACTCCAGTGAGTGCCATGTCCCTCCACTCCAGTGAGTGCACATGCCTGAGACACCATCCAAACCTTTTATTAGCTTTAAGTAAAACCAATCAAACCCACAGACTAAGAGGGGTCCGAAGAGGAGATCCCCCGTGCCCCACACAGCTCACTGGCACCTCCTGCCCTTCTCCGGCTGAGGCACGAACCGCTTCCCACTTGGGCGGCACTGAACTTGTTCTGTGCCCGTACATCGCTCTGCTGCGGGTGGAGCGGGTTGGTTTCGCACCGCGCCGCGCCGTCAGTGCGATGGTACCGGGCTGGGTGCGGTGTCACGGCACGGGAGCGGGGCCGCGGGAGCATCCGGGACCGGCCCCTGCGGTCCGGACCAGGGCACCCGATCCCGGGCCCGCTCCTTAGCCCCATCCCGCTCCTCAGCCCCATCCCGATCCCGGTCCCGATCCCAGTCCCGATCCCGGTCCCGACTCCGCTCGGCGGCCGCACCTGACGCGCGCCCCCAGGGCCGCCCGGCCACGCCCCCCCTCCGCCCCTCAGCCAATGAGCGGGAGGGGGCTCTGTCCGGCGGCCAATGGGAGCTCGGCGGGCGCGCCCCCGCCCCCTATTTGAGGCGCGGAGCGCGGCCGCGCGCTCGCAGAGGCGGCGGCGGGAGCGGGCGGAGGGAGCGAGGCCGGGAGCGGGACCCGGAGCGGGAGCGGCCCCGGGAGCGGACGGTGCGCCCCGCACCGCCCCGCACCGCGCTCGAGGGAGGGGCCGCTCCCATGGAGGCATTCCCCGGCGCCAAGCTGGAGCAGCACCGGCACCTCCCGCCCGTGGAGTGCCTGCCGGGCGCCCGCTACAGCGGCCGGAGCCACAGCGCCTGCGGGAACGTCTTCAACTCCTGGAACGACTACCTGGGGCTGGCCACGCTCATCACCAAGGCCGTGCGCCCCGGCAAGGGCTTCGGCGCGGAGCCCCCCTCGGTGGTGGTGGCGGCCGCCGTGCCGCCGGCCGAGGAGGAGGAGGAAGAGGAGGAGGAGGAGGAAGAGGCGGCGGGGCCGTACTTCGAGGGCGCGCTGGACTTGCACGACCTGGACCTGTGCGGGCATCACCATCACCACCACCACGGCGAGGGGCTGCTGGAGGAGCGCTTCGCCGACTTCAGCCCGTTCCCCGGGCGCGGCGGCCCCGCCGCCGTGGTGTTCGACTGCTCGGGGGAGCACCCGGGCCGGGAGGGCTCTGCCTGGGGCGGCGTGGTGGTGGCGGGGCGGCTGCCGGCGCACCCGCGGGCCGCCTCCCGCCTGCTCAAGCCCGAGCTGCAGGTCTGCGTCTTCTGCCGGAACAACAAGGAGGCGGTGGCCCTCTACACCACGCACATCCTCAAGGGACCCGACGGCCGCGTCCTCTGCCCGGTGCTGCGGCGCTACACCTGCCCCCTCTGCGGGGCCAGCGGCGACAATGCCCACACCATCAAGTACTGCCCCCTCTCCAAAGTGCCGGCGGCCCGGCAGCTCCGGCACGCCCGGACGGCGCTGGGCAGGAAGGGCCGCTGACCCCCGGGACCGTCCCCCGGCCCGGTGACACTGCCCCGGCCCGGGGCGCGCTGGCCCGCGCCGAGCCCGGCGGGGACTGCGCGGCGGAGATGCGCTGTGTTTGTTTATTGTAAGAAAGAAAATATATCTATATGTGATTTTTACGGAGACGGCGAGATCTGACTTGCGGGGAGCGGGTTCGGAGGGTTGAAGCAGCCGCCGGGAAGGGTCGCGGGGGTCTCAGGTCGCCCGAGGAGGGGCAGCGCCTCCTCCTGCCGCCCGGCCCGGAGCGCATCCCAGACCGGGATCCTGCGGGGCTGCACCGCGGGGGGCGGGCCGGAGAGCTGCTCTTAATCGCCACTTAATAGCAGGGTGTTTAATTAGGGTACAACATTACGCCTTTCGGGTCTTAAAGCAAACATCCCCTCGGTTTCCTTTGCCGGTCTTAAAACCGGTGTGCAAATCGCGATCAGACCTGCCCTCAGTAGTTAACTCCTGCTTCCCGAAATCGCAGCATCCTACCTGGAGCGGTGCCCCGCGGTCACTCGTGAGCCGTTCCACTCGTGAGCAGGGATGGCGCTGGCCTCGCAGGTCCCCGCATCGGATGCTCGGCTTTGGGGAAGGTCTGAGAGGAGAAAACACCGAAGTGCACGTTTGAAAACACGATGACTCTGGGCCGGGGTGCAAACGGAGTCCTTGCTGCTGACAGAAAGGCGGTTACAATGGCACAGAACAAGATTGGATGCAGCTGTGTTTGTAGTGGTGAAGGGGGAGGTGATGTGGAGCCTGGAGGAAAAAGACCTGGACAAAGCAGGAAGCCGTGACCATAGGATGATGGAAGAAAGGGAGGTTGTGTATTTTGAAGAGCTGAGACAATGTGGCTTTAACTCATTGCAAGTAGAAGGGATCTACCCGTGTGGTTAACAAATATCCTTAACACTACATAGACTGTACAAAGCATAAGAATTATACTGAAGATCCAGACTACCTTGGGTGATGGCAGATCCTTGGTACTGAATATCAGCCAGGGCTACATTGTTTGTAATCCTCAAAAGACCAGAAATTGCTTATTTTTGACTCAGAGGAAGGAGAAGGAGCAGCAGCAGGCTTGTAGCTTGCTTAGGATTCCTCCAGAGCCAAAAGGCAGGTGCAGGAGTTTTCAGAGCAGAGTGTTTGTTACACTACACGTGGCTTTAGTGACACCTGGGATGTGGAGGGGTGCTCTGTCCAGGGAGGATGCCCTAAGGAAAGCAGGGAGGTGAAGAGGGCCTTGTGGAGGAACTGCTGGGGCAGCACCAGGACATTGAGAAAGGAGATGGGTCCTGACAGAAAAAGGGAACCAGGAAAGTGAGGGGTGATTCACACTTGTGCAGTTTCCTTTTGGAAAGCTACTCAGCAGGGTGGGAAATGGGATCAAGAGAAGAGGGGGAGAGCAGGACAGTCAAGAATGGAGTCAAAACGTGTGGGATGGGCTGGGGACAGGGCCCAGGGTTCATTATTCATCGCAGCTGTTGGCTCACAGCCACAGCAATTAGGAGGGAGAACTTGATTTTGTGTGGAAGTGTTCCTTTAAATCTCCATCAGATGACTCCAAAGATGGTGTCAGATCTAATTACCAAATGCAGTGGGGCTTGCATTAAATAACACTCAGTGGCTGCAGCTACCCTTGTGGCAGCCTCTCTCCTTGTGCTAAATACCATTACTTATTGTCTCCTGCTCCATGGGGTGTGCACCACTGGCTCTTCTAAGCTGTTAGAAGTTAGATGTGTTTGGTTTTGTGATTCCTGGTCCACGTAGGTTTAATCTGTGTCCACCACACATTAGAATCAAGCTCAAGTGTGATGCTGTGGGAAGAGTTTTCTTCTGTATTTTTGTTTCCTTGTGGGAAGTTTTGAAGATCCATATATACATTTCAATGCAGTTGACTGTTACTGGACACAAAAGCAAGAAAGATCTAAGTAAATCTGTCTCGGGTGTTTTCTGAGGGTTAACTGGCCGGGCTGGACTGGAGTTGCTCCTCACAGGGTTTGCCATGTCCCTGCCCCACCTCCCTGCTCTTTACATTAAGCTGCTGTGCAGTACCAGCCCTGGAAATCCATCAGGATACCAGCAGATCCCCTGCCTCGGATGGCACTGGCCTAGTGCAGCACCTGTGTGAGAGGGAAAGGGTTGTATTGATGGCCTGGCCTCTGTTGCTCCTGGTTCCTCTCTTGTCCCACACTTGGCTGTGGGAAGGCCAAGAGCTGCCTGTCATCGCTGGCACGTGGCATTAGGCATCTGATCAGTCTTTAACAGGTAAAGTGGGAGAGTAATAGCTTCAAAAGACCAGTGGGGATGGGGAGAAATAAAATAACAGACTGTTCCAGAGAGGAGATGATGAGATTCAGCATCGGCAACAGCCAGCCTGAGAGCAAGGCTCTTCAGTTACTTTACATGATCGTTCAACAGGACAATTTCCCCTTCTAAGTTTTACAAGTAAGAGTCTAACAAAGACTAAACCTTTAAGGATATTTTGATTGGTCTTTTTTGGGTTTTTTAAAGTAAGCTCCTGTGATTTCTGGTGCACCAGCACACTCCTTGTGGCACTGAGTAAGCAGGAGCGTGCTTGTTCTTGGTCAGTCTGAAAAGCTTACTACAATTCATAGTGTTTATAGAGCTACTTCGATTCCTTAAATACTGGGAACCACTTGCATTAGTAATTTAAATCCTAGGAACAGTAAAAAGCTGAATCTGAAAGCAGGTCAGTTTAGAGCTGTTATATGCTCTGCAGAAGAGGTCTATGAAAAGTGAGATATTATTTCACTTTTCTACAGGCATCTGCAAATCAAAATATTATGGCCACGTGTTTAAACCAAATACTATATCTTCAGAGAATTGCTTTATTACAGGGAAATATTGCTATGCATGTTAGTGATGGAATCTTTTCCATAGCAATGTTCTGGCAAGAGAAGTGAACACAAGATTGGATAATCATCCTCAGCTGATACTGGTCTTGGTGAAAAGCAAGCTGCTTCTAATTAAGAACTACTTTCAGATGTACAGATAACTTGATCCAGCTGAAGTCAGGTAAGTCTGTGCCCATGTTTAGTGGCAATCCTGTCGGGACAGGTTGCTCTCAGGTAACTGCCACAGGAGTAAAGCACAATGGCTATAAAATGTCCTTCCCTCCCAGAGTGGCAGCTTCACCCACCAACTGTGTAGGTTAATATACACTGGAGGTAGTTTGCCAACAGCTGCATGGGGAAGAAGATGATTAATTTTAATATGCCAGTTGTCTGGGCAAAACACAAGTGATACGCTAAATCCAGAAAGAGGTGTAGCAAAGCCAATAGGTTGTCCTCCTGCCCAAAAGTGAAAGGGCTAAGAGCTTAAATTGCAGCAAGGGAGGTTTTGATTAGCAAAAACCCAGTGGAATAGCTTGTAGAATCTCCATCCTACCGTAATTAAATGCCTTAATAATTCTATTTAAGAGGAGGGTCAGAGAAAGCGTAGAGCATTTCAGTTCCAGCTGGTCCTGCCATGGCAAAATAGGAAGAATTGTGTGTTTTTGTTAAGCCACTTGTGTGCCTATTTCTTGCAGTGCTGCAGTAAACCACACAGGATGGGTACCAGTGCCTGAATCACAGGGAAATTTTGGATCTTGCATTTCACTGACCCAGCACCTTCCCTTTGTAGGCTCCCACCATTCAGCAGTACCTTTTAGTTAAAGGAGGAAAAGCTGCTTACAAGTAGCAGTTCCTGTCAATGAGTGCAGCCCAAGGGCATTCAAACCACAGAGATGTTTCATTTACAAGGCAAACCTCCCAGTACTCTTGCTGTTTGAGGTGTCTCCTTGCTGCCCACCAGCCCACCCCAACATCCTCCTGGTCCTGCCCATGGCCACACTGAGGCCACCAAGATCATGGCATGTCCTGGGGCTGTGCTCAGTCAGGAGCTGCACTCATTGCCCTGCCCTGCCAGTCCTCATAAATACTGATATTGTAAAAAACTTCTATTAGATTTGATAAAATAGACACTCTAGAGAAAACTTAATTAAAATGCCTATTATGCCCTGATGGTCCTCAGCCCTGCCCAAGGGCTGGGTCAGTCTGTGGGCTGCTCTGGGAGCAGCAAACAAACAGCCCTGTTCAAACCTGACCCCTGCCTTGCTCTGCTCCTGGAGATTTGTTTCAATTGAGCAACACTTGAATCCATTTAAACAGCAGCAGCCTTAAGCTCTGCCTTCTAAATACAACCTGTGACAGTTTGTATTCTTCTAAGGGTCACTGAAAATTTTAGATGTTTAACTGAATGTGATTCAATCAAACAAAGCAAAGGTTGACAGAGAACTCATTTGCCTTCCTCAGGTAATCAAACTTTGTGCTCATGTCTAATGATGGCAGTAGATGGAGGTTTGAGCTGCTGGATCTGGTCAGTAGTGGGTTTTGATCACTGTAGTTAGTATTATGTCTAAAACCATCAAGCAGTAAAATAAACACACTGGTGTGTCTGCAAAGCTCACATCTCCCAGATCTTTCCTCAAGCTGCCCAGTCCTTGGGAATTTTACATGTGTTGGCAACATTATCACAATCTCAAATAATGGAAATTAATAACACATATGGGGGAACAGAGCTTTAGCTGGTGCAGTGATCACTGCCATCCACTCCTGTGTAAAATTGTCTTTGTATGGATACAATTAAAACTATGTAACTGAAGGTATAATAATCACTTTTTACAATGGCTGGGGAGAGGCAAATGTACCTGTCTTTGGAAAAGGCTGAAAGGGCCATCTGAGAAACTACAGGCCAGATGGTGTTGCTTCAGTCCCTGGGAAAATCACAGAGGAAGTCCTTTCAGAGCATGTTTTTGGGCACCTGCAGGAGAAGATGACTGGGAACAGCCAGCAGGCATTTACTGAGGGCAAACCATGCCTGGCTAGCCTGCCTTCTACAACAAAATAACTTTGTGGCCAAGGGAAGGAGCAGTGGGTGTTCTTCATCTCAACTGTAGCGAGGGTGTCAGTGCTGTCACACAATATCCTGGCACCCAGGTGAGGATGTTGCAGCCCACACCACAGTGGGCACAAAAACCGTCTGGATGTTTGGGCTCAGCATGGAGGGCTGGGCTGCAGCAGGTGAGGGGCATCCAGGGGGCTGCCCTGGGATCAGCCTTCTCCAGGCTCTGGAGGCAGCCGTGGGATGTGCCCTCAGCAGAGCTGTGGATGCCGCTGGAGTGGGAGGACCAGCCCACAGACCTGGGAGGGGGCTGCTCTGCAGAGGGACCCACAGGCTGGGCAGGAGCCTGGTGAGTTCAGCGAGGAGAAGGGCAGGGTCCTGCCCAGCCGAGGAAGAAGTTCTTGCAGTCATGGGCTGGGAGGTTCAAATGCCCTCGGAAAAAGGGGAGCACGAGGCAGCAGATCCCAGACTGTTTGAACTGGACCACAGCCTGGAGAAGGGAAGGATCTCAGCACTCAGCAGATCCCCTCCTGACCACTGTGTGCCCTCTGGGGTTCCATTCCCCCCATACAGGGAGGACATTGCCAAATCTGAGTGAGTTCAGCAGAGGGCTGACTGATAGTCAGGGCTGGAGCACACGCCTGGGAGGAACTGCTGAGGGAACAGGGCTTTTTCAGCCTGGAAAACAGGAAGGTTTTAGGGAGACCTCCCAGCAGTCCTACCACTTCCTACCAGTACCTGGAAAATCCAGGCTTTTCACAGCAGTGCACAGGCAGGGAGACACATGGCAGAAGCCAAAAAGAGAGAGGGTTAAGCTTTTTGAGGGTCACAGAAAACAACAGAAGGCTGGAGCACCTTCCCTACAAGGAAAGGCTGAGAGAGTTGGGGTTGTTCAGCCTGAGGAACAGAAGGCTCCAAGGAGATCTTATTGTGGCCTTTCAGCACTTAAAGGGAACCTCTAAGAAGGATGGGGACAGATTTTTTGGCAGGATCTGTTACAATAGGACAAGGGGTAATGGCTTTAAACTGAAGGATGGTCAATTTAGATTAGATACAAGGAAGTTTTTTTGCAATGAGGGTGGAAAACACTGGCACAGGTTGCCCAGAGAGAGGGTGGATGCTCCATCCTTGGAGACATTCAAGCTCTGACTGTGATCCAGTTGAAGATGTCTGTGCTCATTGCAGTGAGGTTGGACTAGATGACCTTTAAAGGTCCCCTTCAACCCTGTGATTCGGATTTTTCAGTCTGGTGCCAGTCAAGCACTGGAAGAGGCTGCCCATAATAGCTGTGCACTCCACATCCCAAGACCACACTGGAGAAGCACAGTTCTAAGTAACACAACAATTTCACAGCCAGCAGTGAAGAGAGCTCCTGGGTCCCTTTTAACAGGACTGACACTGTGATCCTGTGACACAGAATGCAAGGACAGCAACAGGTGGCTGAACAACAGCAGCAGCCACTGCTCCAGATCTATGTGCTGTTCCTGGATAAAATAACCAAACACCGTGGTATCTTTTTATGCTTAGAGAACACTACTCCTCTGAAGGAGTTCTGTGGCTCAAGTAATGATGTGACAGGCTCCAAAGACACAAAAATCAAGCCCTCAGATGTCTGTGAGAGCAACTGTTTCCCAAGATACCTGCTGGTCCTGGATAACTCAGAAGAGGGCAGCAAAAGGACAAGAGGAGTATTATGGACTTCTGGTCACACATCAGCTTTCTCAGGGAGAAACTATCCCAGGTGTTCTCACATTCTCCTTCAGCTGCTACAGAACAGGTATGAGAACAGAAAAGGGCTGTTCAACAGCTGTTCTGCGTGAACACACACTGCAGGGAGCTACTAAAAAGTCAAGACACAGCAGTTAATTCCTTAAGTTGTTTATTTATCATTGAAGAAACACACAGCAGCAAGTTCTGTGTTGGCTTCAGTGTGATCAGATCCCTAATCGTTGTTACCGCACCCCAGGTTTGAAGTCAACACAGCCATTACTACAAATCACTTTTCTGGAAAGGGAAAGAATTGACCCT